AATGTAACAGAATGAATACACCCAGCAGGGTGAGCAGTTAAGGTTAGGGAGGTAACAACTGGTTAATCATGTAATGACAGGAATAAATCAATACCTTTCAGTAATAATTCTCAATGCAAATGGTATCAATTCCCAAATCAAAAGAAAGATTGTCAGAATGGATCAAGAAATAAAACCCAATGATATTCTGTATACAAAACCCACATTTAATCCAAAAAGAAATTCATGGACTAAAATATCAAAGGATAGAAAACAATATTCTATGCAATGGGAATCACAAATGAAGCAAGAGTAACTATCTTATTTTCAGAAAAAGCAGACTTTAAAACAAAACTGATAAGAAGAAGCAAAGAAGATCATTACATATTGGTTAAGGGAACAATACAACAGGAAAAAATAATTGCAAAATTTATGCACTAAACACTGACATACACAACTTCATAAAACAAAAACATTCCTGGACATAAAAGAGATCAAATAAACATCACTACAATTATAGTGAGGGACCTCAAAACTGCACTGTCACAGATAGACAGATCAACTAGACAAAAAAAAAAAAAAATCAACAAAGAAATATCAGAATTGAACCAAACCTTGAATAAATGGACTTAATAGATATCTACAAAGTGTTCCACCCAACAACAATAGAATATATATTCTTCTAAGCAGCACATGGAACTTTCTCCAAAACAGACCACATGCTAGCCCATAAAGGATGCTTAAGTAAATGCAAACGAATAGAAATTATACTATGCATATTATCAGATTGTAGTGCAATGAGACTAGAAATCAACAGAAAAAGAAATCATAGAAATTATACAAACACATGGAGGCTAAATAATACATTCTTAAATAACAGTAGGTCACAAAAGAAGTCAAAGAATAAATTAGACAGTTTCTAGAATCAAGTGATAATTCCAGTACAACATACCAGAACCTATGAGCCACAATGAAAACAGTCATAAGAAAAAAGTTTGCAGCTGTGAATACTCATATCAGAAAGTCAGAGTAAGTTCAAATAATTATACACTGCACTGCAAGGTCCTAGAAAAACAAGAACAGACCAAACCGAAGCTAGAACAATGAAGAAAATTATAAAAATCAAAGCACAAATGAATGGAGTTAAAGCTAAGAAAACAATACAGATGTTCAATAAATAAAAGAGCTGATCCTTCAAAAGAATAAACAACATAGACAAACCTAAAATAAAATGAAAAAAGACTCAAATAAATGAAAAGGTGAAATCACAATGGACACTGTCAAAATCCAGAATGTTAGTAACTACTTTGAAAACTTGTACACCAATGAATTGGAGAATCTAGAAGAAACAGATAGTTCCCTAGAAATATATGAATTATCAAAGCTGAAACCAAGAAGATATGAAAACCGAGAATAACCCAATAACAGACAATGAAACTGAGGCAGTAATACAATACCTACCATCTAAGAGAAACCTAGACCCAATGAATTAACCACTACATTTTATAAGAACTTCAGGGAAGATATAACACTTATACTTCTCAAATTCTTTAATGAAATTAAAAGGAAAAGAGAACTTCCAAAGTCATTCCTGGAAGCTGGCATCACCCTGATTCCAAAATCAGACAAAGATCTAAATAAAAAAGAAAACTACATCAATCTCTTTAGTGAACATAGATGCCAAAATACTGAACAAGACTCTGGCAAACAGAATGTAACAAATCACCAAAAAGACTATTACCAATTAGGCTTCATATCAGAGACGCAAGAGTGGTTCAACATATGCAAATCAATAAATGTAACACATCAGATATATAGAAGCAGGAACAAGAATCATATGATATCTCAATAGACACCAGAAAAATTCTTTGACAAAATCCAGTATGGATTCATGATAGAAATCTAGAAGAAAATCGGTATAGAAGGACCTTAATTTAATCTAATAAAAGCCATGTATGACTTCCAACATGATATGAAATGGGAAAAAGCTGAAAGCTTTCCCTATGAAACCAGGACCATGCCATGTACAGGTGCAAATTCCCTATGATGAGTGTTATCATTATGTATATTTAAAATGTTTCAATAAGTGTTTTGCTCAAGAAAATAAAATAAAAATAAAAAATAAAATAAGGAATGAGACAAGGATATCCACTGTCACTACTTCTGTTCAATACTTGAAACATCAGCCAGAGCAATCAGAGAAGAGAAAAAAATAAAAGGCACATATATAGGAAAGAAAGAAGTCAAATTGTTCTTATTTACAGATGACATGCTGTTTTACATAGAAGAGCCTTTCCCTCAAAACTCCATTAAAAGTCACCTAGACTTGTTAATCAAATTCAGCAATGTAACAGGATACAAAATCAACACACAAAAATCAATAACATTAACATCACTATACACCAATAATGAAACCACCAAGAAAGAAATTTGGAAAACAATACCATTCATATAATAGCATCAGAAAAAAATTAAATACACAGGAATTAACCTAATGAAGGAAGTGAAAGACCTCTACAATGAAAACTATAGTGTTCTGAAACAAGAGGTTGAAGAGAACATCTTGGACAGGCAAAACAAAAAGTGTCAAAATGGCCATACTACCAAAACTTATGTACAGATTTAAAGCAATCCCAATAAAGATACTAATGATATTCTTCACAGAACTAGAGAAAACAATCCTAAAATTCAGAGTCAGAGACCAGAATAGCAAAAATGATCTTGGGGAACAAGAGCATAGCAAGAGGCATCACAATCCAAGATTTCAAGTTATATTACAAAGGCATAGTAATTAAAAACAACATATTACCAGCACAAAAACAGAAAATGGATATATGGAAAGAATAGAAGATGCAGTAACAACCCAGCACACTCAGCCATATGATCTTTGACAAAGGGGGCAAAAACCTATGCTGGAAGAAAGATAGCTTCTTTACCAAATAGTGCTTGGAAAATGGACTATCTATATGCAGAAGATTGAATCTAGATCATATCTCTCACTGTGTACTAAACTAAAATCAAATGGATCAAAGCTATAAAGTGGGAGGGGAAGGGGAAAGAAAAGAAGGGAAAGGAAAAATTATGAGAAAAGAAAAAAAATGGAAACAAAGTTTTGTAAATAAGGAAGGGTGGAGGGGGTGAAGGGAGGACAAGGAATGGGGAAAAAATAAGAACCAAGATACACCATGTACAGGTATAAGTACCCAATGATAAATGTAAATGTATTGTATACCCAAAATGTACCAATAAAAAAATTTAAGGAAAACAAACAAACAAAAAGAAACACTGAATCTGTTGGACAATAAAATAGGTGAAACCCTTAAAGTCAGGCATAGGCAAGGACTGTGATCAGAACCCTGATTGCACAAAAAATAACATCAGGAATCAACAAATGAGATTATTTCAAACTAAAAAGCTTCTACACAATAAAGAAAAGAACAGAGTGAAGACACATCCTAAATAATGGGAGAATATTTTTGTCAGCCACTCCTCAGATAGAGGATTAACATCTAGAATATATAAAAACTAAAAAAAATTAGATTCCCCAATAAAAGATCCAATCAAAAAATTGGAAACTGAAATGTACTTCCTTTTCTTAGAAGAGGAAGTACATATGGCCAATGAATACATGAGAAAATGTTTGACTTTTCTGGTCATTAGATAAATTCAAATTAGAACAATGCCAAGATTCCATCTTACTCCAAAAAGAATGGCTGTCAATCATCAGGAAGTCAAATAATTCCAAATTCCAGTAAGGCTGCAGGGGAAAAAAGAACCCTTGTTCATTGTTGGTGGGAATGTAAATTAGTACAACCTCTATAGAAATCAGTATGGAGATTCCTCAAAAAACTAGAAATGGAAATTCTGTTTGGTGAAGCTATTCCCTTTCTAGGTATCTTCCTGAAAGAGTTAAAAACATTTTCAATGATGCCCATACTCCTGAAAGAGTTAAAGGCATCATATTACAATGATGGCCATGTTTATGGCAGTACAACTAGTAATAGCTAAATCTTGGGAGTGGCCTATATGTTCATCAACAAATGTGTGGATAGAAAGCATGTAGCATTTATACACAATTGAGAACCAGTTTGCCATAAAGAAGGAAAACTTTCTGTCAGTTGTAGGAAAATGGATGCTCCTTGAGACAATAATGCTAAGTAAAATAAATCAGACATGCAAGATTAAATATTGCATATTTTCTCTTATAAGAGAAATCAAAGTATAAATAAATTGATGAACAAAATAAAATAGAGTTAATAGGAAATAGGGAGATAGATAATTTGCAAATGGGAAGGAGATGAAGAGGTGGAGGAAGGGGGGAATGAGGAGAGGGAAAAAAATTAAGATGTGCTATGTACATGTACAACTCTCCAAAAGGACTGTAATCATTATGTACTTCAAATATGTACTACTAAATGTAACTATTAAAAAGCAAAACAAGCCATTCCTTTCTCCTAAACCCTGTGACATTGGTACTATGGATTCAGATCATCCTGTAATCCCATACTAGGCTGGGTAGATCTCCTCCCTGGGAATTCTTTTGTTTAAAAGAGACTGTTATGTTCTAAAGCAGTTACCCGTTCTGAGGGTATTCTGAGGAGATTCAATTTTGGATACAGATGGACACTTAAAAGCACAAACATCAATTGACAAAATGGCAAAGGTTAAAATATCTGGAGGTGAGATCTTTTAGGCAAATTATAGGAAGTCCCTGGACAGAGAAAATGCTTAAGACGTCCAACCTATCATGTTTACTATACAGAGTTGTGAGAGTCCAGTGCATTTGTGCTTTGTAAAACAGGAAAACACTCCTCTTGTACATGTTTACTATTATTTTAAGGGTTAAGGCTTGTAGATGTCCACCTCTGTGTGTTTCTTATGGTTGTATAAGAGGCACATTTATTACCACGTGAAGTCAATGATTTTCTATTCCTGTTACCCTAGCCACTTCCCCCATACCTCTGCACAGATGTTAAGGTCTGAGGTTTCTGTCAGTCACCACCTAGTGTGTGTCTCACTGTGTGTTCTATGAGGGCACAGAAATACGTGGCAGCATCCCACAGCTCTGAGTCTGAGATCTTGAGACTGAAGGACTTGGCTGCTTTCTGGAAGTTCACAGAGAAGCGATCCTCTGCTGCATTCTGATGCTTGTAAGCCTCTTGGCGAATAATGAAAATCATCTGCCCACTGGGAGGTTGTTTGTACCAGAACAAATAATAATTACTTTCAGTAGGGTCATATGTGCAGTCCAGGGTCACTGTTGCTGCCTCTTGTATGGATATTTCTGGTTGAGACTGAGTGACTTTCTGGGCCACACTGGCTCCTGTGGGAAAGAGGAGAGAGAGAAGTCCCCTGGGGTATCATGTCAGAGAAATAAACAGACAAGACAGACTCACAAGATGGTTCCCATCCATACTGCCTTTCCTCTTCATTCAAGCCCCGGACAGTTTATATCAGCCCTCTGTCTCCTAGTAGCTGGGATCTAAAAGCCAATGCAGCTGCTGTACTATTAATCTTCTTCCTTGCACTACAGCTCTATTAGATACCATTGGAAATAAACACCTATTCTGTCCTTACCGAGACAGATGGATACGAGTACCCAGGACAAGCTAGCCAGTATCATGCTGGCAGCTCTCCCCTGCAGGGTGAAGAGTCTTCTGCTCCCATCTGGGTTCTCCTCTCCTTGGTGACAACTCTTCACAACAGGAAATGATATCACAGGTAGGTGGTTCACTTATTGAGGAAAGATTTCCCGACACTTTTTTGTCTCTCTTTCAGAAAGTAGGACTGTGGTTATAGTTTCAAATGAAAATGAAAGAAATGTTTCTGAGTTCTTGTAGTGCAGGATGAATTTCTCATAAAAATGACAAAGCAAAGATGATAAAATATATACAAAATTATGAGTGATAAAATATCTGTTATATTAATATATTAATTTTTTACATTTGTATAATTTCTCAAAGTAAAAATGAGAAAAATATATGCTGTGATGGAAAAGAGATGACTAAGTGTGGAAGCAGAATATGTAGTAACTAATTGTGCTTATCTTTTCCATGGATACTTTAAAAATGAGAGACCTTGCTTGTGCTTAATCAAGAAACTTTGAAATAACTATTGCAGAAGTTCTCACAGCACTAAATTGTTTCAAATGATTTAGTTTAATTCATATTTATTTTAAGTCATTCATTTCATTTTGAGAAAATATTATGCACAAAGACTGTGATTTATTAGAAGTGTGCTTTTCCAGGGTGAGTGACAAGGATCTGTAATGTCAGTGTTGTAGGTCCAAGCTAGGAGCATGAATGTAGGTGTGGTTACATGGTGGATGACTGTTGGAAGAACATGGGTTCTCAGTTGCATAGACTTAGGTGGCTGAGTGTCCCCACTCAGAGAGATATCCATGGAGTCAGAAAGGTTGGGAACAGCCCTGAGTGATGCTACAAAAATCCCTTGTACTCTAAAGTTCAAATTGATAGCAATAGAAGAAGCCATAGAATTTCTTCTAAAAATTCTTCACCCTTGTTTCATGATTTAAGTTCTTGTACCCAGCAATGTCAGCTCCAAAGCAAGGGTTTGTGTGTAAGGATTTTATTGCAGGCAATTCTAGGGAACGTTGGTTGGAAGTGAATCAGGGAAGGGAAGGAAGGTAATATGGGCTGTGCCATAAAATCAGCTACTACTATGGAAAATTGGAGCTCAATCCAGAGGGACAATTCTGGGAGACGGGATAGCACAATCTTTGGAGTTATCCCAAATGAGGCATGAAGAAGCTGGATAAATCATTAATACACTCGTTCATCACCAATCAAGTTCTGCTTTTATGGCAAACCTGGCATTTCTAGCTTGTCCTGAACATTGTCACATTGCTCCCCTAGCCTGAAAATGGTCCTCAGAGTTGCTGGGATTTTCAGCAAGCAGTGTTCAGTGTGGAGATGTGACTGCCAATAAGCATGAGTGGACCCAAATGGCATCTTCCCAATTCATCCCTTGCCCTGCTCAGATATACTTGTGCTTTATGTTCAAACTACTCAGATCTCTAAGCTTAGAATGAAAGCTAAAAGAATGGATAGTGGGACAAGCTAAAGATGCTCTAGTTGATTTCAAGGCTGTGATTCATATTTATTATGTCTCTCCAATATCACTCATTCTTGATTCTTCTTACCTTTTGCTAATAATTCTACTAGACTAGATTTCTTTCTTGGAGAGTAACCTAAACCTTTATCCTTGAGGGAGTCTAAGCCCCTGGCTATTCTGCCCTTGTTAGGCTTAGTTTCTACAATTGCCTGTTTGTAGTAACCACAGGCATGAAAACCATCTCTTGAGTTATAGACACATATTCCTGGCTCCTGTTAGGTATCTACAATCCTATACTTTATGATAATCAAGATCAGCTGCCCTCACCAGTATAGCAAATCCTTTCTGGGTTCCTGATCTGCTGGCACAAGGGTCCCCGAATTCTGGGTTTCTGATCCCCTGGCATAAGGATCCCCAAATGACTAGGTAACATAGGTAACTAAGTGTAGTAAAAACCTTTCTGTTTCCCTAGTAGAAGCATGCCCCTCCTTTTTCCTTCAAAAGGAAGCAGGACCTCTTATCAGATAAAACTCAGAGTTATAAGAACAAAAATCACAAAAGTAGATCATTAAAGGTGGGAATTTCTGGCGAGCTAGTCCTGCTTCTATCCTCGGCTCCAGTTCCATATATTTTGTCTAACTGGGACACAGCACCATCTTGAAGAACACTTCTTATACCTCTCAGAGTGCAATTCTTAAATTGGCACATTAGCTAAGCCTTTAAGTGGCCACTTTCATGTTTTATCTGGCTAGTGTGGATGATGCTAGATGTGATAGGATCAGTATGTCCAATGACATATGTGTGGCCATTGCCACACTCCCCTGCTATATAAATGGGCCTCTTGCTATAAGGAGATGTGAGAGTCTTTGTTGATCATTAATGGTCAATCAGACACTCTCAGCGCTCAGCTGATGCTACCATGTGTGGCACTGTGGAATGGAAAGCAAATCTATGTCCGAAATATGCATTAATGAGAAAAAATTATGTCACCTCTGCTTTTTCTGCATCTATTGAGATGATCATATGCTTTTTGTCCTTGACTCTGTTAATATGGTGTATTACATTTATTGATTTATGGATGTTGAATCATCTTTGCATCCCTGGGATAAATCCGACTTGGTCAGGGTGTATGGTCTTCTTGATGACCCTCTGTATTCTGTTTGCCAGTATCTTGTTGAGGATTTTTGCATCTATGTTCATTAGGGAGATT